TGCGGGTGGTATCGGAAATGTGTGCCGAATTTTGCGTCGCTAGCCGCTCCTCTGACTAACTTAATGACTACAAAACGGAAGTTCTCCTTAACTCCAGAGGCATTGAAGACATTCGAGTCCTTGAAAACTTGCCCCTGCCAATCTGCCCGTCTTGTGCAGCCCAGACTTCAAAAAGCCGTTTGCTATCCATTGTGACGCCAGCAAGACAGGAGTTGGAGCTGTCCTGGTGCAGGTTTCAAAAGAAGGAGACGAACGACCAAGTGCGTTAATTTTAAATAAACTAAATCGAGCCCAAAGAAATTAAACTGAACAAGAGTGCCTGGCAGCTGTAGTAGCGGTTAAGAGTTTTAGAGCCTATGTGGAGGGTCACGCGTTTACCATTGTAACAGATCACTCCTTCTTACGTTGGCCTACACCTCCTTTGCTAGAACGACTCCATAGAATCCCACGTAGCTAGGTTGTTGATGGACAAATCCTCTTCGAGCTTTCGTGCGACGATGTGAATCAGCAAACCGTCCAAGATTTGTTTCGTAGTGGCCAGGGTACGGATTGCTCGCAGATGCGAATTCATGCAATCGCTTAACTCCCGAAGACCCTTGGCTGATCCCTTCTCGACACCTTTTAACCCAAATATTGCCTGTACGTGTGCCTGAAAATGTAGAACTTTATTATCGAATCGATTTGTAAGTAAATCCAAAGCCTTTGTATAATTGGCATTCGAGGGCTCAATCGAACGTATGGTCTCTAGAGCCACGCCGCCTAAACTTGACTTTAGATATTGTAATTTTTCAATATTACTTAGCTCTTCATCATTTCCGATGACCGTGCTGAACGTCGCAATAAAATCCGGCCAATCAGAATAGGATCCATGGAACCGAGCTATCTCCAAAATTGGCAACAGAGGGTTCCTAGATCGGAAAGAAAGATCCGGATGATTAATAATGTCGATGGATGTTGAATTTGCAGCGGTTGCAGCCGGTAATTGAGATTCGCCTTCACATCCATGAACGCCGTGGAGAATTCAATCCGATGATCACTGCTATCTCCGAAAAGTCCAATTTTACCAGCGAATTCTGTGCGAATTAATCCACTCCAGTCGCGCCAGTAAATCAGCTTCATCAAACTGATCTACAGTCTCCGGATTTAAGTAATAATTCATCGAGCTCAATTGCCGCAATAGGGATTGGGCCTTGGCTCATTAGAAGTCCACGTCACTTGGCGGCTCATTTTGATGCTGAACCGAGTTTTCCGTGTTAGACATCTTTATTTTCTCACGCGAAAAGAATTAATAAAGGGAAAATGTCTGACCACTTCGGTATATAGGAACCCGTTTGGTTTTCACCGCGCAAATTAAGAGGTAAATCAGCGTCACCGAGATGCAACGGAACCTCGACAATGTTGTTATTGTAATTGTCTGCCTCGAAACAGCGGAGTTTTGGCACACGCACGTCTATGCTATATATGCATAGGTAATATATGTTCAATAGGCGCTATTTACGACGCTTAAGCGCGAGCCACCTTTCTATACAATGCTTGGCACAACACAGCTTTTGTTTAACAGCACGATTTAACCGAAAATCAGCGACCGGCTATATGCACTCAGCTTGTTATGTACAAGGTATGTGTGTATGTGAGTTTGCTTGTGTGCTTATGACCAAATGCCAGTAAGCGACAGCGAAGCAAAGTGATTTGTTTAAACGATATTAAGCAACGAACACCGGGTTGCAGGCTCCGAGCCAAAGAATCTCGTCAGGGTCACCAAAATGTTTATAGGGAAGACAACGAATTTGCCACCCTTGAGCAATAATTATAACGCACGAATAGGTTATTATATGCTGTGTATATTTTCGTTTTCACTTCTCTGGTCGGAGCTGCAACTACCGATCGAATGCTTGACTTTATCATATATCAAAACGCTTACAATGTAGCTTAGCATAAGCTAAGATAAGGCGACAGAAGAAGAAGAGAAAGAGAAATAAATAACGAAAGAGAAAAGCTAAGAGCGCAGCACGTGCAGCCATACACCCATGCGCGCATGATTAGGCACAAGCGGTCTGCTTCGAACAGGCCATGATGGACTTATCCGAAGGTTTGCATTTAGATTTGAGTTCAAAGCATTTCCAATCTGACTCCTAGAAGGACCTAGTGGATTAGATCACCGCCAATGCGAGAAGTTTTACTGATTTGAAAGTCGAGCTGAACACTTAACTGGAGAACAAGTACATGACGAGTATACTTCAAAGCTATGGTTACCGTCATAACGGTCCTTTATCGTATCATGGAGGAATCCATAAAACCGTGGAACGGCTAAGGAGGTACTACTTTTGGCCTCGGTTGGGGTCGGACGGGAAGACGCATGTCAATGCATGCGAGACATGCAAAATGACGAAGCCATCGAATCACGCTTTACGGCCGCCGTTGGGAAAAGCACCGGAAACTTTAAGATTTTTCCAACGCATATATGTTGACTTCTTGGGGCCTTATCCCCGTTCCAAGAGTGGGAACATAGGAATTTTCATTATCCTTGATCACTTCTCAAAAATCGTATATTTAAGACCTGCCAAGAGAATAAATGCTAGCGTTATTGTCAGATATTTAGAAGAAGAACTGTTCATTACGTATGGGGTTCCAGAGACTGTCGTATCTGACAATGGATCCCAGTTCCGGTCAGAGACGTTCCGAACCTTAATGGAGACGTACAATATATCGCAGACGTTGACCGCGGTGCATTCTCCGCAAGCCAATGCTTAGGAAGGCGTAAATCGCTCCGTGATAGCAAGAATTCGATCCTACTTACGCCCTGATAAGATATGCTGTGCATTGCGAGCTTCATATCATTCCAGTATTGGGACTAGCCCATACTACATGGCTTTTGGTCAACACATGATAATGTCCGGGTCCACCTATTCGCTACTAAGAAAATTGAACTTGCTAGACGATCGATCTCTAGTGTACGACAGGCAGTATTCTTTTGATATAGTTCGGGAAAAAGCGACTAGAGAGATGCCAAAGGTTCACGACGCCATCGAGAAACGATACAACCTTCGTTCTCGAGAAGTCACGTTTGCGGAAGGGCAAGAAGTGTTCCGCCGTAACTTTAAGCAAAGTTGCTTCCAAACCGGATACAACGCTAAATTTGGACCCACGTTTGTGAGAGCTCGAGTGAGAAAGAAGATTGGTAGTTCATACTACGAATTGGAAGACCTCCAGGGTCGTCTCTTAGGCAACTTTCATGCCAAGGACATTCGTAAGTGATGCCGCTTCAGGGCAATCCATCTAGGGTGCCTGAGGAAAACAACCTAGCCTGATTTTGGTGGGGGCTTTGTAACGGCCTGAAGCGACAGTTTTAAAAAACCCGCAATGAACGTCGATTAACTAGGGGAGCTAAAATAGGACGTTGCCACCTAGTGAAGATAGTTCTCAAGTCAGCTGTTAGCAAATAATGTTGCCAAGTGTGACTCCTGCCATATGTCAGTGGCCGCGAAGTTCCTCCAGCCATTTTTGATCTCGGCCTATTTTGTTCTTGATTTATCTGCGAATAGACGTGTGTGTGCTACGAGTAGCCTATAATTGAATTTTAATGGCAAAGGTTATTATTCCGTCTCGCCTTGACTAACCTATATTCACAGAAAGAGAGTAAATGCCAAACTTTGTACGCCGGCGTCGGCAGCAGCAGTGTTCGCACTTGGTGCAAAAATTTGATAGTCAAATCCAAAAGTAACAAAACGGTGAAGCCGTCTTTGGGGTATAAGTTTAATGTTAAACTGTTTGCAGGTGTGATTTCGGCCACCGCCTTCGCGTTCTCGCCATGAGCATTGAGTTTGCGGCTGGGCGAGGCTGTGTTCGTATTATTTCGAGAATTTCTCCCCGGAAGGCCTCACAGACCTTTCGAGGCGAACGAGTTGTTTAAGAGAAACACCTCTGTTGGTGAAGACCTAATGGAGATCTAAGTTCGAGCTGAGCATCAAAGGCGTCGGACGCTTCGTCGAGGGATTCTTCATGTACTAGGGCGCGCGCATTGCCAATTGGGAGGATGTGCCTCCGGCTCGGTGAACTCTCGATAAACTTAATTCGGCTGAATAGCCATTTCTACCTAGCCTGTAAACCCTCTTGATAAGCTTAGCCTTAAATATTTTCATAGTTAGGATAAGTTAAAGAGAGCCAATTGATAGAATAGGCAGAATTGGAACTAAGCGGGTGCTATCGCTCTTGAGAGAGATGCTGGTGGATTTTCCTTCTTTGCCGAAAGAATACCTCACTCTTTCTTTACAGATAAAATCTTTCAGAAGATCGATATTCGTCGTGGGGAAAAAAATGCAGTGAGTCACCAAACCAAGTTCATGAATTTCCATTCGCGTTTCTCAAGAGATTGATGTAAAAATATAAAGTAACGCTTGATTCTAGTGCCTACTAAAGCTAAGATAATTGGATGATTGATGCTAGCGCCCGTACTTTGAAACCGAATTTACCAAAATAGAGAGGTCAATTTTAGATACTATTACTATAAGTTTAGATAACGCCGTGGTCATTGATTGAGGCCGACGTGCACTTGAAGCCATCTTAGGTGTTGTACATTAAGAAATTAGAAATATTCGGAAGAAGTTCAAATCCATTAAGTTAAATTTGTATAGAACTATTAAGATTAAAGAAAATGTTTACTGACGTTAAATATTATGGCTAAGGGACGTAAGACGTAGTGTGCATACAAGTATTTCCTCGTTTTCTGTTTCTACTTTTTCTTGGTGTCGCAAAAGGCCACTCGAGTGTACTGACCGTAGTGCATCAAAGTCCAATAATCCCCGACTCTTTGACCCAAATCTCTAATACCCTAAAAATTAATTTAATTAAAATTTATTATTTTACTGTGTGTTAGAAAAATTGTTTTAGTGAGGTTTTAGTATATTTTTATTTTATATATTGTGTATTAAATCGTATGTTTGTATTAATGTATGTATTTTATTTTTATTGTTAAGTAGCTGTTTAATAATGAAAATACTACCTTAAGCAATGAGCTTTGCATATATTCTAAATATGTGTCAAAATTTTTATATGGTATGGTTTTTTATAATGTACTCAGATCTTAAGTAGTACGATTAAAATGCGGTTTACACTAAACGATAAATATTACGAGGAAACAACAACTCTAGCTTCATAACTACCCTTCAAGCTATCGTTTTCCTTCTTTTAGATTTTCGATAGTAGGGTCAACTCCTTTCACTTTGTTTTCTTCGATCTTTAGCCGTTTCGTTTTAACAGCATTTCTTTCTATTTCATTGCTATCGGGAACGGTATCTGGCGAAACGCACCGTTTAAGCACGCAACGATCGACACCTGCACCTGCAACCTTTTCACAGCTCTCGTATTTGTTGGCTACTGCATCTTCTGTTTCAATTGGGTTAATGGTAGCTTGTAGATCTTGTAGCGGTTTTTGAAATTGAACAATCACGGCAGTCATGTTGTCACAACCAGTTCCATCACCCATAGTGTTTGGCGCTAAACAGTTGTCAAAGAGCTAAAAATATACGTTTTTTTTTGCAAATCAGTAACTTTCCAAAATAAATTGTTAATTTTTTAAATATTAAGTTGTTAAACCCTTGTTTTTAATTTTTGTCAAATTCCATATATAATATATTTAGAGTGTTAAAGTTACAGATTTAGATTGAATTGAATTGAATTTTTCACTACAGTAACTGATGGTTTCTATGCCAGTTATATAATCATCAGATTTGCATAAAATTAAAATCGAAATGTTAAAGTTTCTGAAAATATGTTGAAAACTCACAAAGCTACACTATTAATTTTTTTATTCAAATGATTATTATTTCTCTGGCAGCTATCTGGCTCTTTTCGACATATATATATAAGCGAGAATGTGTAGAAGTCTATATTCAAACTTTCATTAAAATAACTTTAAAACAGACTATATTAAATAGATACGGATATGACTAGATCGAATCGGATATTGACGCTGATCATTCTTGATGATCAAAAATATACATATTATAGGAAATGACTCATTTACTGCGTTGCAAGCTTATAACTAAAAATATAATATCCTGCAAGTGTTTAAATATTTTTCAACCATAAAATATTTGTTAATTGCTAAGTGCTACAATAATTTGTAATACAGATTATTAACGCAGACTCAAAACTTATGAAATCAATAAATAATATAAAGTAACATACAAAATAATATATAACCAAAGTTGTAAACGTTCGATCCTATATCCTCGCAATTCGATTTAAAATATTTATGTTGAAATTTCTGAATAATTAAAAGTTTCCATATAACAGAGTACACGAAAATATGTTAAAAATCTGAAACTGTGTAATTAGTTCCCGATCTTATCTGTAGCAGCTACATAATAAAAAGTTTAATCTTGCAAGCTTTGACAATAAAAAGAAAACGACAATTTGCAAAGCTTCCTTCAAATACCATTAAAACCGACATTAGTTTGAGTAGAAAACGATGAACGGCTGGATGTAATTCTTTACTGGGTTGTAATCTTCTTTACTTAAGTCTACCAGAGTGTAATTAGGAACATTTTTAGTCTTACTCAATACTTTATGTAAATATAAGAAAGGAAGCTAACTTCGGGACGCCGAAGTTTATATACCCTTGCAGATAGAACTTCTATGACTAGGAATCCATACAATATAAATTATACATTTTTGTGTTAAAAACAACGCAGTGAAGGAGGCACCTCCGACCATATAAAGTACATATATATATTCTTGATCAGGATCAACAGCCGAGTCGATCTAGCCATGTCCGTCTGTCCGTCTGTCCTTCTGTCCGTTTCTACGCAAACTAGTCTCTCAGTTTTGAAGCTATCTGAATAAAACTTTGTAGTTAGCCTTCTATATACTCTCACTCGTATATATGTCGGAACGGGCCGGATCGGACGACTATATTAATAGCTGCCATAGGAATGATCGGAAAATTTTTACAAAAAAAATTATAAAATTTTTAGTTTTCAACAGAATTTGATCAAATTTGAGATATAGCCATTTCATATTATTCTACAATTTTGTGTAAAATTTTATGAAAATCGGACTAATATATCATATAGCTCCCATAGGAACGATCGAGAAATTTGAGAGGAATGAGAATGGCGGTGGCTGTTGTCGGAAGACTGACAATCGCGGTGGCGATAACATTTTTAGTTTTCAACAGAATTTAATCAAATTTGAAATATAGCCATTTCATATTATTCTAAAATTTTGTGTACAATTTTATGAAAATCGGACTACTATATCATATAGCTCCCATAGGAACGATCGAGAAATTAATACAATTAAATTTATAACTTTTTTAGTTTTCAGCTGATTTTCATCAAATTTGAGGTATAGCCATTTTATATAAGTCTTAAATTTTGTGTCAAATTTCATGAATATCGGACGACTATATCATATATGTGCCATACAAACTATCGTTTGATGTAGAAGAAAAATGCAAATCTGTGAATGAAAAGCTGCAAATATAATATGTATAGGTGAATGAAATGAAAGCAGGTATTACTTCATTGTTTTTTAACACAAATATATATATAATTTATATGGTATGGATTCCTAGTCATAGAATTTCTATCTGCAAGGGTATATAAACTTCGGCGTGCCGAAGTTAGCTTCCTTTCTTGTTTTTTTTATTGTTTCTTTATTTATTTAACAAAATGTAAGCCTCCTAGAAGAAATATTTTTACTGTAAATATATACTGGACTTATACACTTTAGGGTGTACTATTCATTGTCCCGTTATATTAATCAACCGCCGTTTTAAGGTGGTCACATAATTGGCACACTTTAGTAAAAATTATTATTTTTTATTTAAAAACGCAGTTTTTACACTTTCTGCTATTATTATATCACTTGTTATTTGATTTATGTTATTTGCACTATAGTTGAGATTAAATAAGTACGGAAAAAACTTGTACTTTGACAGAAAAAAGGATTATTTATAATCTAAAGGAATAGTTCCTTTGGGAGCTATATGATATAGTAGTCTGATATTAATAAAATTGTACACAAAATTGTAGAGTATAATAAAATGACTATATCTCAAATTTGATGAAAATCAGTTGAAAACTGAAAATGTTATAATTTTTAATTGTAAAAATTTTCCGAGCATTCCTATGGCAGCTATATGATATAGTCGTCCGAACCTGCCCGTTCCGACATATATACGCGTGAGAGTATATAGAAAGCTAACTGCAAAGTTTCGTTCAGATAGCTTCAAAACTGTGAGACTAGTTGAGTAGAAACGGACAGACGGACATGGCTAGATCGACTCGGCTGTTGATCCTGATCAAGAATATATATACTTCATATAGTCGGAGGTGCCTCCTTCACTGCGTTGCAAACTTCTGACTGATATTATAATACCCTGCAAGGGTATAAAAATTTGTGCCAAGTATATGACCATAGCTGTATTTCTAAGGTACATATTAAAACAAAAAAAAATATTCTTTGAATAGGCTTATTTAGAAAACATGGTTCAAACTTAACTAACCCCTGCTGCCATCTAATAGGAATTAATATTATCCGATTTTTCTCAGAGTATATTCGCACGATCGTTTTGTTTACATATCTAAAACCAAAGATTAAAATTAGTACAGTGCAAAACGGATCAGTTTTATAAATGTGTGGCGGAAGGGCTAGAGCTTATTAAATAAAATGCGGTGTAGAACCGCATATAAATATAAAATAAAATTTTGAATTAGTTTTCCTGAATATTTTAAGGTGCACGACTTATAAAATCCCTTAAAAAATGCTTCGTGGTGTACTGGGATGAATACTTTCTAGGAAATTTCAATTAAGTCTCAGCGGAAATTGAAAAACAGACGGACATGGCTTAATCTTTGAATTTAATGCCCTGCAAGAATATCATTTTTGAACAAATCAAGAACAGAAGCAAACTTTGCAAGCCAAAAAGTATATACCATTTCAGTTATAATTAGTAAATATATTTAAAAATAAAAATTAACGAAAAAATTTTTGGAATCAATACTCGCTAAAATTTTACAGTATCCATTTTTCCTTTAAGAACTTTATACTTATAAATAAGTTATTATTATTAATCAGTTTTTCTGAACACCTTACAAAAACATGCTCTCCAAAATATATATAAAAATGGTTTAAATAATTTATAAAAAAATACTTTACCTCTTCACAAATGATTGACAATTTCTTATTTTTTTCTTTTAACCTCAATCGCACAAAACTAATAACTTCTTCACTAGACATATAATTCCATATGCCATCACAGGCCAATACCATAAATTCATCTTCTGGCGTAATTATTAATTTCCTAATGTCTGGTAACGCGGATATCATTTGTGACTCAGCTGGCAATTGAATATTTGTTTTGTACGCGTGGTCACCAAGGGCTCGAGATAAATTTAAGCCGCCATTAACACGGCCATCAAGTGTGACTCGGCCTCCAGCCTTGATAATTCTCGCGGCCTCTTCATCATCTTCTGGTTTGTGATCGATACTCATTTCAATAACTCGACCATTTCGGGATATGACACAGCGAGAGTCGCCTGCATTAGCTACGTACAGATCGCGACCGTGCAATAAACAGACAACAGCAGTGCATCCACTGTCTTTTCCAGGTTCCTCAATCATGTTGGCGCAAAAATGATCATTGGCTTTTTGATCTTCATCTGTTTCCTCTTCGTCGCTAATTTCGTCTTCCTACATATAAACTTGTTAGTATAGATTTTAATAATATGTTATAACTTACTTCGTCATCTTCCTCGTCTCCATCAATGTTTTCAACTTCATCATCAATATCATCATCTGAGCTGTCCGTACCTAATATATTTGGAGACTCGACTGGGTCATTTTCTTTGTAATCGACATCATCATCGGTGGAGGTATCGTCATCCTGGATGCAATCAAACTTCTTCAAGAAGTCTTTAGATTCCTTACTGGTAGATGAAATTCCAGTTATATCGATTTCTTTGGATTGGCCGGTCAAGTTTCCTTTCCCAAAAACTTTGGACCCAAATAAAACAGTTTCCATACTATTTGTATTATTTTTACAAGTGGCATTAGCCCTAGAGGAAGTAACACTCCCATTCTTATTTGTCTGGGAGCCGTCAGCATTTTTCCCACTGGATTCTTTGCATATAACAGAGTGAGTTGAATCATTATTGCTTTTGCTGCTACTACTCACAGCGGACTCATCCACAGATAACTGTATTGCCCTCTCTAAATAACTAGAGCACGGACCGATAACTGCAGGTGCAATGGTAGCAGCTGCAGCTGAAGTGGAAGAACCTTCTGGTTTCGCTGTGGGGTCCATTACAGCCTTATTAACAGCTTCGGCAGCTACTGCCGCTGCACGACGTCCTCGTAAATATGGGGATTGCAATTTGGACACACTGCCCTCTGATGTTAGATTAAGTGTACCATGAGTTAACGGAAGCCCTTTGTACCTTTCTAGAACTTCGTTTAATGGCAAGTTACTCTCCTCCTGCAACTCGGCTAAATCTTCCTCAGCATCGTCATCGTAATCAGTCGCGTCTCCCTCGGCGAAATTATGCTCGCCTGCTAATATTTTTAGGATAGCAACTACTGACGGATCCAGCAGAGTTTTGTCAAACCCTAAAAATGCATCTTTGAGAGCCTTTTCAAAATGTCCATTTCTATATGATTCTAGGTTTTTAAGGAACTCTGGAAACTTGTCGGCACAGTACTGTGCAACCTCAGCTCCACCGTGACCATCATACACAGCAAAAAAGGAAGTATTTTTGTTATAATTCAAAATGGAGTTATGTGCATCCTGAAATTTTTTAAAGTTTGGTAAGTTAATATACCAGTCTCACAGGACATAATAAATTAATATGCATGCATATATGTATGTATGTATCAGAGATCTGCAGACAATGTACATACATATTTTGTAGACTCGCTCAAAACACCAAAAGCGTCAACGTTGCCAAATATGAGCACTACCTGCACTGCTGTACCATTTTTCAGTAATTCATGAACGATTTATCAACAGTCAAGGCGGTGTTGTTGATAAAACATAGACGAATGTCCATACCAATTTCTGTCATCAACAATTAACAATTAATGATTCATCAACAATTTAGGTTGAAAAATGTCTTTAGCTTTTTTTTGGACTTGAAAAATATACATAATTTGCTGTTAATTCTATAATTTTCAATTTTAACTTTTTGTTTTTCCCCACATAAAACACTCAACTCCACTGTTTTTTATATACAGTTATTCAAGAAACTGTTTACACACTAAAAATTTAAATTATTTTTTGACTTACGCCTTTTTTTTAAATGTTTTTGATTTTTTTTGAATGCATAACTAATTAATACAGTATGTCAAGAAACTGTTTACACACTGACAATTTAAAATATTTTTTGACTTTGCATGGAAAAATTACGCCTTTTTTTAAATGTTTTTGATTTTTTTTTTGAATGCACAAATAATAAATAAGTTATTTTTAATGAGTATGTACAAAAACAAAAACAAAACAACCAAAGGAACAGCTTCAAAGCAACAACAAATGAGTTTACACATTTTTGGCACTGTCAAGAAACTCTTTACACACTTAAGTTTTCCATTCTGTTTTAATACTTAATAAAAAAACGGTACTTTATTGTTACCTACGCTTTTGCTCGCATGGATGCATCCTTTTTATATTATTGTGAAATCTTCAAAGCACACACCAAAAAGCGACAATATCAATTTTTAACAAGAAAGGAAGCTAACTTCGGCACGCCGAAGTTTATATACCCTTGCAGATAGAACTTCTATGACTAGGAATCCATACAATATAAATTATATGTATTTGTGTAAAAAACAAAGAAGTAATACCTGCTTTCATTGCATTCACCTATACATATTATATGTATTTGTGTATTTGTGTGAAAAACAAAGAAGTAATACCTGCTTTCATTGCATTCACCTATACATATTATATTTGCAGCTTTACATTCACAGATCTATATATATAAAAATGCTCTGTTCGTGTCTACATCCTTCATAGACTTGAAAAGTTCTGAACCGTTTAAGCCCAAATTTTTACACAACATGCGTTGAGGTTCCAGCTCGGTTATTGTCTACTTTTGATGTTGATAACTTATCTGCGGTTGCAAATATATCAATTTTTTTTAGCGTTTCCCCGTGCCCCTACTGCTGCGCCCTGTACAGGCAGCCAGCTGAATCAAAGCATTTCCTGTCAAACATTCAAAACATATTGAAAAAAGAAAGTTGAAAAGTTCTGAACCGTTTAAGCCCAAATTTTTAGACAACATGCGTTGAGGTTCCAGCTCGGTTATTGTCTACTTTTAATGTTGATAGCTTATCTGCATTTGCGAATATATCACTTTTTTCGCGTTTCCCCGTGCCCCTAGTGCTGCGCCCTTTACAGGCAGCCAGCTGAATCAAAGCATTTCCTGTCAAACATTCAAAAAAAATTTAAATAAGGAATTGGAGAAAAAAATTTTCTTTTTTTGTTCAGGTTCAGTAAGAAACGAAGTCATGCCACCCAAAAAGTCAAGTTTGGGTCGTCGTACTCGCAATACAGAAGCAAACAGAAGACGTAAGATTACGAATATGACTGACGAAGAACGGGCCTCCATCCGAGAGACTGAGCGGCTGAAAGCAATGCAGATGCACAACGAGGAATCAGGAGAAAGACGAGCAGATAGGCTTGAGAGAAAACGATTGAGAGTTAGGCAGTCGCGTTCTGCAGCAATCGATTTGATTCACTCTCAAAATAATGAACGCGACAGGGCAAGGGTAGCTGAAGAGCGTTTACAGCTTGCAGAAGATCAAAACCTGCAATACAATCGTCTTGCATTCAGATATAATCCAACTATTGATTACAGCTCGAGTCGAATGTCGTTATTGGACGAATGCATCAGGTCTGCATATACCGTCAGGCTCTCAAATTTAAAAACGAACCAAAAGGATTGTGTTGCGCTTCCGGGAAAGTGGAATTGCCTCAACTTGAAGCACCACCAGAGCCTCTGCACTCTCTATTCGCTGGATCTACTGCAGAATCGAAGCATTTCCTGTCGAACATTAGGAAATACAACTCTTGCTTTCAAATGACGTCATTTGGTGCGGAAATTATAACTGCACAATTCATGCCAACTTTTAAAATCAAAGGACAAATCTATCATAAAGCCGGTTCCCTGCTTCCGTTCCCAGACAGCGAACACAAATTTCTTCTTCTTGGTGATGATGGAAATGAAGTAGATGCACGTTATGGAATCAATACCTAAATACGCTGAAGAGGCACATTATTTCGCAGCTACAGAAGCTTTTTCACGAACGGAACAATTTGGTGCGTTTATTCAAAACAGCAATCGATATGATGCCTTCGGATACCCATAAAATTGTCATTCATGCAGACAAAACGCCTGCTGGAGAACATATCAGGAGATATAATGCTCCAACTATAGACGAAGTGGCAATTGTCATAGTCGGGGATCAGTTTCAACGTCGAGATATTGTTCTCCATCGACGAAACGATCGATTGGTAAACGTCGCAGAAACTCACCGTTGTTACGATGCTTTGCAGTATCCACTAATCTTCTGGAATGATAGATCCAGTCAATGGTGTAGAAACGAATAAAAAGTGCAGCGCGATGAACTTTTACTCATACAGGTTAATGGTTCGGAGGACCGATTGCAATCATATATTGAAATGTCGTCAGTTGTTTCATCAGTACATTGTCGATATGTATGCAAAAATTGAAACAACGTTTGCTGTTCCTCCGATTGAATCAGACGAAACTTCGGTCCGATAAATATATACATTTGCGGGATGCTGTGATGAATGACCGTAATACAACCAACGTTGGAAAGCTCACGATTTTGCCATCCTCATACATAGGTAGTCCACGCCACATGCATGAATATGCTCAAAATGCCATGGCATATGTTCGTTGCCACGGCCGTCCAGACTTATTTATCACCTTCACATGCAATCCAACTTGGGACGAGATAGTACAGCTGTTATTTCCTGGACAATCGTATAGGGATAGGCATGACATCATAGCCCGTGTTTTCAGACAAAAGCTCAAGTCACTGATGGATTTCAATGTGAAACATGGAGTTTTTGGATCTGTGCGGTGCTGGATGTATTCAGTAGAATGACACAAGAGAGGATTGCCGCATGCGCACATACTGATTTGGCTGTATGATAAAATTACTCCAGATGAAATCGACGATGTTATATGTGCTGAGATTCCACGGGCCGAGGTTGATACGGATGAAGTTGTCATCAAGAACATGATCCATGGCCCATGTGGTACCCTCAACCCATGTTCACCATGCATGGTAGACGGGAAGTGTTCCAAGCGATATCGTCGAGCATTTACAGCCAACACCGTAACAGGGGACGATGGATATCCTCTGTATGGGAGACGGTCAACTGAAGATGGAGGGACTTCGGCAAATTTAAACATGAGAATTGGTGATATTGAGCTAGACAATCGTTGGGTGGTTCCATACTCACCACTATTGTCAAAATCATACAAAGCGCACATCAACGTAGAATATTGCAATTCCGTGAAATCGATTAAATATATCTGCAAGTACGTGAATAAAGGCAACGATATGGCAGTTTTTGGTGTTCAGGCAGAAAATGGTGACAACAATGCAGTACGAGTTGTCGATGAAATATCTCAATACCAGGCTGGAAGATACATAAGCAGCAACGAGGCTGCATGGAGAATTTTTTCGTTCCCCATTCATGAACGCTATCCAGCTTTAGTTCACTTGGCAGTCCATTTGGAGAATGGTCAACGTGTCTATTTCACAGAAAGAAATGTGCAAGAAAGAGTCCTGAATCCGCCAGCGACAACTCTGACTGCCTTCTTCACCTTATGCCAGGAAGATGATTTTGCCAGAACCTTGATGTATTCAGAAGTGCCCTCTTAACCATAATATGCCACAGAGAAACGTGGCAGGGTATAGCTAGTTATATATATATATTATATATATATATTATACCTCAAATTTGATGAAAATCTGTTAAAAACTGAAAATGTTATAATTTTTAATTGTATTAATTGGGAGCTATATGATATAGTAGTCCAATTTTCATAAAATTTTACACAAAATTGTAGAATAATATGAAATGGTTATATCTTAAATTTGATTTAATTCTTTTGAAAACTAAAAATGTTATAATTTTTTTTTTTTAATTTTCCGATAATTCCTATGGCAGCTAAATGATATAGTCGTCCGATCCGGCCCGTTCCGACATATATACGAGTGAGAGTATATAGAAGACCAACTGCAAAGTTTCATTCAGATAGCTTCAAAACTGAGAGACTAGTTTGCGTAGAAACGGACAGACGGACATGGCTAAATCGACTCGGCGGTTGATCCTGATCAAGAATATATATATGTACTTTATATGGTCTGAGGTGCCTCCTTCACTGCGTTGCAAACTTCTGACTGAAATTATAATACCCTGCAAGGGTATAAAAATGCCTGGAGCTAGATTGACCTTTGACGTGGTCCAGTTAGTTTATTTTAACCACCAACTTGGAAAATCTGTAGCTGAGTTGGCCGACATGTTTCGGGTATCCCGGAAAACTATTTACAATGTTGGGGGGGGGGCACCCAGTTTAGTACTTTGTAAATAGTACTTAATAAAATTATTGTTAAAGTTTTTAAATATATCCTTTAAGCTGCAAGTTTTGTACATTGTGTAAAGAGTTTATTGGCAGTGTAAAAAATGTGGTTATTTTTTGTTAAATCTTGAATTGTCTTGTTTATGTTTTTTAATATTATCATTAAGAATTATCCAATAAATAGATATCAATTGAAAAAAAAAAAAATTTTAAAACCTTACTAAAAGCGTTATATTTACACGCATTGTCAAAAAATAATATTAATTTTCAGTGTGTAAACAGTTTCTTGACACATTGTATGTACATATGTAATTCCATGGTTACCTCTATAATTCCACTGTTTTCCATATAATTCTACTGTTTTTATTATAGTTCCACTAATTTCCATAAATTCCACTATCTTTCTCCCACGCGATAAGTGGAACTACACAATTTAACCATTCTTTCCAGTTTTTCCAGATAAAATACATACATATGTATGTACATACATGAATGTATATTACTTGTAACTCCTTAAAAATTTAAAATTTAAACGCAAACACCCACCCAGCATATATCATTTAAGGGAGAGTGCAAGATCCGGAAACATACAATAACGTCGAAAAATGCTTAAGGATGTCATTACAGCAGAGCTCGCAAATAACTGTCGACCGATTATAACCGATATTAATAAAAATTATAAAATAAATTTAGTAATTATAACCACAATGCCAAATTATAAAAGATCACGATCAAAACAATGAAATCAATGCACTCTTTATTAATTGTTACCATATTCGAAATTGGCACACAGAACGCATATGCGCTATGGACTAATTTGTTGTTTTTTTATTTCAATTAATAGTTTTAGTGCAGGTAAATAGGTTTAGTTCGTGGTAAAATATTTTGCTTTTTATTTAATCTTATCGTTTGTTTGTATGTTTCTACACAAAACGTAATATCATTTATCATTTAAGGCCAAGCTAACATAAGATAGGAAAAGACACTTATTTGCAGACAACGAGAAACGGTCGACAGTTATTTGCGAGCTCTGCATTACAGAGAAAGGGATCAAATTTACAGGCGAGGAACCAAAAAATCTGGTGGATTCCATGCCGTGACGCCTTACGGAGGTTGTACACAGGAATGGATACCATTCCAGATATTAAAATAAGTATATTATTAAGTTAAAATAGTTTTTCGTCAGCTGTACGCAGACTTTTGCGGGGGAATTTTTTTAGTGCTAAGTTTAAAATAAAAAATAAAATATAAAGCATTGTTTCATAATTCTAAAAAAATATGTCATTGAAGACAGTTTAATAAAGAGTATGTTAGAAAAAAAATTTTTCTAAAATGTTAATAATTAACTGAATTTGTGTTTAAAAATTTGAATTTGAAATTTTTTTTTGGGGTGTACGCAGAGATTTGCGGTTGAGTGTATGCACATGTTTTTACTGATGGCAGGCCTTTTCGATCTTTTTTCATCAATCGAGAGAAAATGAAAGCGCGAAAGTTGAGTTTGGCACGATTGCCGCCACAAGCATCGTCTCGGTTAAGGTTGCAATCACGTTGATGAATTGTTGATGACATTGGCCTACTGGTGACATTTGGTATTGTAGGGTGGTGCTTGAAAACCTTTTGCTCATGTGAGCGGCAGCCACATGCACAAGAACATAATCATTATACACAATTGTGTGGTAAAAAACAACATCAACATTTTTGGTGCTATCTGATTTGGCAACGATTAATTTTTTTAAATTCATTGGTGTTTTACTATAATTAGAATTGATAAATTGTACATCTAAAAAGTAGCAAAGCAAAATAATGTTTATTAAAATAAATGGAATAATTAAAATATTTAATTTAAAAAGTATCAAATTAAGAACTTCATGTCGTCTTATATGTACATACATATTAAACGTATGTACATGTACATAAGTCCATTCTTCAAAATGCGAATTACAGAACTAAATAAAGAATATACATATGTAAAAAGAATGTACAAGAACTCCGCGTATTATAATATAGAGTAGATTTTGGAGTGGTAAAACACCGCAACCGCATATTATGAGGTGCTAGTAGCACCGTCACCGCATTTTGATCGAGTATACTTGTAGTGCTCAAGCCAGACACCGGTGCCGATCTCTGATGAGTATGTAAAAAAATTACTTTTTACCTCTTGGCTATTTCTCCAACCTTGCATTGAGCTAGCTCCAACGGCAAGGAAATCATTGAATTCATCTGTAGACGCTTTATCTGTCTTCGGATGGGACAAGTAGGCACCCATTGTTATAACCAGTTCAGTCTTCAAAATATTTGCCAAAAAATTGTTGAAAAGTCAAGACAGCCTATCTTTATGCTGTTGACTGATACGCGAAAAATCTATGCTTAACAAACTGAGCACCAGAAATAACAATGCTACTTCCGATGTTTTTATTTTGTTATTTACTATATATTTAATTACAAATCAATAGACCGTTTTAGATTGTCTTAGATTTGAAAAAAAAAAGTCCAGAAAGCACTTAATAAAAATAGCAAATTCAGCGAAACCCGACACAAATGCTCATCCAAAATTCAAATTTTAAATAAACACATTAATATGCACTCATAAACGATAAAAAATATTATATGTACATACCTACATGATGTAAAAATATACCACAAATCTAAATGGCACACATTAAACTGATATATACTGTTCTTACTTGACGACATTTAGATATGAACTGACCAGACCTCAAACTTTTTTAAGTACAGCAACTACCCGAATCTATGATCAAAAATCATTACCGGCATACTAATGTAGGAAATCAAACTTTATAAGGAAAGACACACCTGTTTAGTTTGTTGATCCCAACATTTAGTTCATTAGCAATATTAAGCTTATCTAAGTACCCAAGAAAGCGCAAAACCAGAAATTAATATATCTTTTCTCTTATATATATATATTGAGTTTTGCAGCAAGCTACATTTTTATCTGATGGTAGTCAGGGTCTGGGTTTATTTAACTATTTTGTTTTTATGCCATCCAAAATTCTTATCCCAAATGGATACCCGATTGCCTCACAAATTTTTACAATTTGTAACAATAGTAGACTGTTTGTAGAGAAAAATTAATAAATTAATGATCAATAAAATAATTTTTAAATCACTCATAAATATTTATTTAATCGATACTAACTTCTTAATTTACAAATATTAATAAAAATTATAAAATAAACTAGCTGTACCCTGCCACGTTTCTCTGTGGCATATTGTGGTTAAGAGGGCACTTCTGAATACATCAATGTTCCGGCAAAATCATCTTCCTGGCATAAGGTGAAGAAGGCAGTCAGAGTTGTCGCTGGCGGACTCAGGACTCTTTCTTGCACATTTCTTTCTGTGAAATAGATAAGTTGACCATTCTCCAAATGGACTGCCAAGTGAACAAATTCTCCATGCAACCTCGTTGCTGCTTATGTATCTTCCAGCCTGGTATTGAGATATTTCATCGACAACTCGTACTGCATTGCTGTCCCCATTTTCTGCCTGAACACCAAAAACTGCCATATCGCTGCCTTTATTCACGTACTTGCAGATATATTTAATCGATTTCACGGAATTGCAATATTCTACGTTGATGTGCGCTTTGTATGATTTTGACAATAGTGGTGAGTATGGAACCACCCAACGATTGTCTATCTCAATATCACCAATTCTCATGTTTAAATTTGCCGAAGTCCCTCCATCTTCAGTTGACCGTCTCCCATACAGAGGATATCCATCGCCCCTGTTACGGTGTTGGCTGTAAATGCTCGAGGATATCGCTGGAAACACTTCCCGTCTACCATGCTTGGTGAACTTCGGTTGAGGGTACCACATGGGCCATGGATCATGTTCTTGATGACAACTGCATGAAAATCTGTATCAACCTCTGCCCGTGGAATCTCAGCGCATATCACATTGTCAATTTCGTCTGGAGTAATTTTATCATTCAGCCAAATCAGTATGTGCGCATGCGGCAATCCTCTCTTGTGTCATTCTACTGAATACATCAAGCACCGCACAGATCCAAAAACTCCATGTTTCACATTGAAATCCATCAGTGACTTGAGCTTTTGTCTGAAAACACGGGCTATGATGTCATGCCTATCCCTATACGATTGTCCAGGAAATAACAGCTGTACTATCTCGTCCCAAGCTGGATTGCATGTGAAGGTGATAAATAAGTCTGGACGGCCGTGGCAACGAACATATGCCATGGCATTTTGAGCATATTCATGCATGTGGCGTGGACTACCTATGTATGAGGATGGCAAAATCGTGAGCTTTCCAACGTTGGTTGTATTACGGTCATTCATCACAGCATCCCGCAAATGTATATATTCATCGGACCGAAGTTTCGTCTGATTCAATCGGAGGAACAGCAAACGTTGTTTCAATTTTTGCATACATATCGACAATGTACTAATGAAACAACTGACGACATTTCAATATATGATTGCAATCGGTCCTCCTAACCATTAACCTGTATGAGTAAAAGTTCATCGCGCAGCCGCTCAGTCTCTCGGATGGAGGCCCGTTCTTCGTCAGTCATATTCGTAATCTTACGTCTTTTTGCTTCTGTATTGCGAATACGACGACCCAATCTCGACTTCTTTGGTGGCATGACTTCGTTTCTTACTGAACCTGAACAAAAAAATAAAATTTGTATCTCCAATTTCTTCTTTCAATATGTTTTGAATGTTTGACAGGAAATGCTTTGATTCAGCTGGCTGCCTGTAGAAGGCGCAGCAGTAGGGGCACGGGGAAACGCGAAAAAAGTGATATATTCCCAAATGCAGATAAGCTATCAACATCAAAAGTAGACAATAACCGAGCTGGAACCTCAACGCATGTTCTCTAAAAATTTGGGCTTAAACGGTTCAGAACTTTTCAAGTTTCTTCTTTGAATATGTTTTGAATGTTTGACAGGAAATGCTTTGATTCAGCTGGCTGCCTGTAGAGGGCGCAGCAGTAGGGGCACGGAGAAACGCTAAAAAAATTGATATATTCGCAACCGCAGATAAGCTATCAACATCAAAAGTAGACAATAACCGAGCTAGAACCTCAACGCATGTTGTGTAAAAATTTGGGCTTAGACGGTTCTGAACTTTTCAAGTCTATGAAGGATGTAGACACGAACAGAGCATTTATATATATATAGATTTAGTAATTATAACCACAATGCCAAATTATAAAAGATCACGATCAAAACAATGAAATTAATGCACTCTTTATTAATTTTTACCATATTCGAAATTGGCACACAGAACGCATATGCGCTATGGACTAATTTGTTGTTTTTTTATTTCAATTAATAGTTTTAGTGCAGGTAAATAGGTTTAGTTCGTGGTAAAATATTTTGCTTTTTATTTAATCTTATCGTTTGTTTGTATGTTTCTACACAAAACGTAATATCATTTATCATTTAAGGCCAAGCTAACATAAGATAAATCCACTTATAGGATATTGGTAATAAAATGGCTATATATTTCGCTCGATAATCAGTGTGACCAAAGAAGTTGAACGTAAGGAACAAAAAGGGACTGACACTGACAGTCCTTTTTTTTTGTAAAAAAAACTTAATGTAGTGATGTTAAAATGTATTTATGTTTTCACCGCTATCGTGAAAAAGACAAATAATCAGAGGCACCAACACTGTCGCCTCCCAATAATAGATTAATTTCGTATTTTTTAAATAAGTTTAACCTTTCATTGCGGAATTTAATAATTTCAAACTCTTCTTGCCGCTTAGAAAAGCACTGCATCCGAATCATTTATTTTTTTAAATTTTCCTTCATCTTGGCTTTCAAAATATATTTGATTCATTTCTTTAGCTTAGCAAACCACAGCTGCTTAGTTTTTTTTTAATCCAGCAACGCTTCACATTTTTCGCTCTAAACATCTTATCGTATGTTAGTACCCGGGCGAATGAAAAGTCAGAAGATCTTTTTCGGTTAGCTACCTCTATTTTATGTATGGTGCTTTGCATGAACAATATTTATTCTAACTTTATAACTGAGCAAGTTACTGACCGAAGAATTTTATATCATTACCATTCATTCCTGCCTTTACAATAACAACTTAATCATTAATCAGTAATTATGTTTTTAAGCTTAGTACTAACATAAATAAATATTCTTCAAGCGCCAAAGCTCCATATAAAAAAAAACACAGAAAAGAGAAGGTAAAATTATTATTTGATTCTTTAATCGGGAGGATAAATGTTCCAAGCGTAAAATGCAAAGCGTTGCCGGTGTTACAGAATAAGATTTAGTGATTAATTTTTAATAAAATTTCTCAAGAAAATTGAATTATTTTATGGTGAAACCCAATGGATATCAGTGCGGGACAGAATGCGCTACTATCATAGGATTGATAAAGCAAAACAAAATTGAGTATATACAAAAGGGTGAGATGCTGCAGGCCCGAAGGCAAATAGCTCTTTCGAAAAGAGCTTTTACTAGCAGCAGAATCTAGAGTTGGAGAAGGATCTACAGTATTTGGAAAAGGAAAAATCCAGCTCTTATTTCTCTTTGGGTGGGAAATCCGCCTCATCTTAAAATATAGTTATAAGCTGCAAATTACTTTTTTTTATAGAAGCGCAAGAGTGTGGTGACTGAAAGTTGTGATTTAACACAAAAGATAGAGAGGCACATACATATATCACAGGTTCCAAGGGTACGCCCAATAATAACGACTGGGGTGATATCATTTAGGAACTGCAGAAGGAACTACAAGACAAAGCAAAAAGCTATGTAATCCAACTGCGGTAAAATAAGCAAAAATATTCAATAAAAACTTTGCAAATTTATTTATGTTCCTTAAATTTTTACAATATAATATTCATAATTATTTGTATTTCTAACTAAAGGCTCAACATTTAGCTTTCTATTACCTCTTTCACTGGTGCAAATATTGATTACAAATAATTATCCATTTTTAAGATAATTCCAAAGTGGCTTATGAAGTAGACCAATTCAATCACAAATTTCTGCTGAACGAGGTGCAATATTTTAAAGAAATATTGGTATCAAAACATAACATGCTGTTTTTATACCCTTGCAGGGTATTATAATTTCAGTCAGAAGTTTGCAACGCAGTGAAGGAGGCACCTCCGACTCTATGAAGTATATATATTCTTGATCAGGATCAACAGCCGAGTCGATCTAGCCATGTCCGTCTGTCCGTCTGTCCTTCTGTCCGTCTGTCCGTTACGGTACGCTAACTAGTCTCTCAGTTTTTAAGCTATCTGAATGAAACTTTGTATATATGTCGGAATGGGCCGGATCGGACGACTATATCATATAGCTGCCATAGGAATGATCAAAAAATTTTTCCAAAAAAATTTTAACATTTTCAGTTTTCAATAGAATTGGATCAAATTTGAGATATGGCCATTTTATTAAACTCTACAATTTGCATACAATTTTATGAAAATCGGACTACTATATCATATAGCTCCCATAGGAACGATCGAGGAATTAATACAATTAAAATTATAACTTTTTCAGTTTTCAGCTTATTTTCATCTAATTTGAGGTATAGCCATTTTATATAAGTCTTAAATTTTGT